CAATTTTCGTACGCTTGCTTGGAGTAAAGTCCATCGCAGATAAACCGTAGGACAGCTAATCGACAGCCGAGACAATAGTGTTTGGACATGCTAAAATTCTGATACAATCACGGATGACGCAGTATTTTTCAAGGCCAAACAAATTTCAACATACAACCCGAAAATAGATTCATATTACAGCACGCCACTGCAAATGACCTAATCCGAGGAAAAAAATAGAAATCGATTACACCCTGTCACTCCAATTCGTCTAAACCTGCTCGTATTGTAAAAGATGGGAAACTGAAGCGGTTGTTTCAATTAATTTGAACAAGTATGTATATTCGTTGTCATGAATTCGTTGCAGGTGATCATTCGTAATTGAAGGATAAATGTGAGCTTAAAATAAGTGTATATATTGGATATTGTGTTTATTTCTCAATTTGATATTAGCGTGTACACATTGGTTATTGTAACTATATATATATATATATATATATATATATATATATATATATATATATATATATATATATATATATATACACATACATATATTAATAATATTAGTGGTAAATATACACATACATATGCAATCATATATCTAAAAATTTACGATTCCAATGCAATAAATTATGACTATGGAATATTAGTGTTTAAGCCTTTTTTTATTATATATATATATATATATATATATATATATATATATATATATATATATATATATATATATATATATATATATTATTATTATTATTATTATTATTATCATCATTTCAATTTGACATGAAAATGTGATTTCATGTTAATTTTTTTTTTTTTTTTTTTTATCTCCGATGAAGTTAGCGTTACATAGACAAAGTTCTCCTTGAATTTTCAATGTTAAATTTTGTCCTGTCACCAATTTCCATTTTCAATTTCCATTTTTTCTATTTCAATTTCAGGTCTTTGTATTTTGATAGTTTTTCAAATTGTTGCTATATGTTAATAACGAATACATGATCATAATTATTAAGTTTCAATTTCGTTAAATATTTCAATTTCCATGAAAAATGGGTTGCATATGACAATGTCTAACGCAAAAGGTATTGTATGGACCAGGGTAAATCTCCCCCAACCGATCCCAAGAGCTGAGCTCCAGGAAGAAAGGAATGTGTGTGTGCGGGTGCGGTGAGGGTCGTCGAATTTTTATTCATTTAGAATTCTTAAAAAGCAGTTGATCTCGACTGATCTGTTATACCCAACCCGCTATAACCACCTGACAATGCAAAAACGATTATCATATTTTTCGATCGCTGAGAAACGCTTTAATCGTGAAATTGCTCTCTAATAAAAATCAGATTAAAGAGATCGCCGAAAACATTTTCGCATTAAAACCTGTGGAATTTTACTTTAAAAGGTATGAAAGAGTTGCCTGATAAATGGTAACAAGCCGTTACAGACAATGGTGAATATGTAATTGAATAAAATGTAATCGTACTTTAGTTCTTCAAGTTTTTTTTAAAATTGATATGCAAACACGGAAATTATTTATGACTCAAAATAATTGCATTAAGATTTAACGGGTAAAAGCATAAAATGATTAATCTCTGAGGAGTTTTTTTTTCCTGCTATTCAAAGCAATAAAAAAAAACAAATGATAAATAATTGTAATATGTCAATAAAAAATATAACAATTCAAATATTTCCTTTAAAGCATTATATTAGCCTTTATGATAAAAAGTGCTTTTCTTGTCAATTGATTTTTTGGTTTGATTTTTCCCAACCTAACGGTGCTAAGTTTAAAGCCGTTTTGGTCCATAAATTATGTAATTATTTTAAGGGATTTATTTTTAATTATGTACCAGTAGAGCATCACTAAAGCAGCAGTTAAGGCTTTTTAGTTCAAGAGAAAATGCGTGGGTTTGAATGAGATTCATAAACTGAAACTTTTGTTTCTAGTAGCTGTTTTAATTTCGCTCTTCTATAGAATCAACTCAATTTTGGACATAAACAATGGAATTCCTGTTTATGTTCAGAATGGACATAAACAGGAATTTGTTACATTATTTGTAAAATAGCTTAAAACAAAACTCAGTGCGGATTATTAAGCTAGCACCCGCGTAAGACTGAGTGGGCCTCCAACCTAAAATTAAAAGGAACTCTGGCCCAGCTTATAAAGAAGCAATGATAATTTTGAAGAAATAACTTTGAATTCCTCGATTCACTCCATGAAACTTCAAAACTTCAGTTTAACTCTGATTCGGGCTATAAGTCCAATTCCGCCCAAAAGGCAGATTTGAATCAAAAGTCCGATTTGAACCGAAACTCCGATTTGGTCCGAAATTTCAATTCGTGCTGAAAATTGAGTTCTTCAAATCACAAACTCCTGGAAATTTCAAATATGTTGAGTTCTTCAAATCACTTTAACTCTGATTTTGAATTTTGAAGAAATAAAATTGACCCCAAAAAGATATCTATCTCTGTAGAACAAGTGTGGCCCGAATTAGAGAGGTTACAGACAGACGGACGAACCGACAGAATTTGCCGTTTATTTATTTAGAAGAAGTAAACTGTCATCAGCGCCTTGTCTGTGCCCCCTCTGGGTTAACGTATTCGGGACGGCTGAGTCCAAATAGGCAAGCACAAAGAATAGAATACACGAACTTCTTTCGTTGCAAATGAACCATTTGAGCTCTGACCATCGCTTTACTGGTGGTAGAGAAAAATGACGTCATGCTCAGCTACCGCTTGAACAGTGGGTAAACACTTGTAACTATTTTTATATCTACTGTGAAACATTACATAACAATTATTTGCGAATTTTACCCCAGGAGCTCGGGCAGAAGGGTTAAAATTGTTCGGGAACGCAGGGCTCAAAGGGTTAATAAGAAGAAAATTGGGACTTCCGACTAAAAATAGCCACGTTTCGTTTTCTTTTCTCTCTCTCTCATTCTTTTTCTTCCTTTCTTTTTCTTTCAATCTCTCTTTCTGTCTCTCTCTCACTTTCTCTCTCTCTCTCTATCGCTTTCTACTCCTCTTCCTTTGCATCTATCGAACTAACAGGCTGATTCAGTAGTTAAGGCGTTAAGTCTTTTGTGGCTCAAATTAGCGTCTGGGCGACCGGCGGCCGTTTTTTCTGTACCGATTATGTCACTGCGTTAGTCTTCACGACTGTCTTCAGGCCAATACACCAGATCTGCACTGTTACTATAACTGTAGCACATAACGAGGAAAGAGGGATTGGAGTATTTCACACTCATAAGGACATGATAAAAGCAAAAGGGGCAGGGAGAAGTAGTAATGATACAAATATTGTTTAGAGCTACAAAGGATAGGAAGTTGTAGAGAGCCGTGATTTCCCACGTTCTGAAGAAGACAGAACATAAAGAATAATAAACACAATCATGTATAACTTGTTCACCATTATAGTGCTTTTTTACTCTTTCTTAACATAGTTACACATTGAAAACCATTTCATTTACTAATACTTGACAGATAACAGTTCTTATCGCGTTGACCGATTACTAATAAAGCCTAATGATAGAACAATCGTATTTACCTGATTGAACAATAAAAGTCTGTAATCATTTTTAAGTTGACTATATCTTATTTTTTACTATTTTTCACTCAATATAAGGCCTAAGAGCTACTCAAGGTAGAGGGTTACTAAACGACTTTTTTATAAGAGCGTACAGGGTGGGAACAAGAGATGTCTATTGTGTTATTTTTAATCGTTATCACTCCAAGCAAGGCAGTACAGCCACTAGCATGCAATGGATTAAACGGTGTGTAGGAATTAGGAATAGAAATATTAGTAATGAGTAGAAAGAGAAAAGAGCAATCAGGAGGAGAGTAGATAGTGATTGATATTGCATTTAAATTTTTGCAGATTAAAGTTGGCTGGATAACATGGAACCAGAAGGGAGTTCCACAAACGAGATAAGAAACTGTTAGCATAGAAGTTGTGGATACATCATGTGTATGTGTAGGATATATATAGCGGTTAATGCTGAACTTGAAGAGGTTAAAGTTGTAGTGAAGCATCCTCCCGGGATCCTGTTCCGGTGGGAGTTGTCCAAGTGAATCTTCCTCCTCACTAATGGAATATAAAGGATATGAGGATGAGTAGACTCAGTGTGCGTGGCTTGTTGGCGGTTCTTAGTTGTGAATATCTGGACTGGTGGAACTAAGAATTATAATTCGCCCGAACATTTGCCATGAAAACAGCGAGAGAGGCGAACAACGTTTCGTTTTGTGAAGAAAAGGGGTTATTGGGTGGGAAACAATTCATCACCCACAAGGCCGCGCAAACGTTTTTAAATGCTGTTGACGTCTGAAAGTGTGGATTAAGCAGTTCCAACCCAGATGTAACAGCAATACTACATTTTGGGTTTGATCTGGTCCCTTGTAAAGAAATAACATGGCAGAAGGAATCCGGTAACTTATGAAACGGTACAAGGAAATGTATCGTATATACGAATTCCACTTGAGGTCTGGGCGTATTTGGGACCCAAGAGACGTTCCAAGTGAGGAATCCCATTGAGAGTACAGACAGACATCATGACTGAAGAAAACGCGGGATCTATCAGTTCATAATTTGCATTAGATTAATAAAACATTTCTTACCTGTATTGTAATCATAAATCACTCGTTTGGCACCCAAAGACTCATTCCTGCTCTCCGATTCCAACAACACCAACTTCTTTTGATCATCAAAAATCAGCTTAAAAAGGAAGAATATATTCGTTTAGAATTTAAACTTGAAATATAAATAATATTTGTATGTTCCTTAATAAGGGGATTAGAAAATAAGAATTACTAAGAAAACGCTTGAAATACATAATGTGGAAAGAAGACCTGGAATAATGAAAACTCAAAGGACACATCAAAGGTGAAGGGAAGCATAGCAAAGTAGCGAGTAGCATTTTTGGTAAGATTTTGCAAATGGATAGACGAACAAGTGCGAGGAAGAGGGTCTTCATGAAGGGGAACGTATTGTTGAAAGTAACCAAAGACAGTCTTGACTGTAAGCCATGATCTTACAACCCGTGAAGATACACGAGAGAAGGACTGGGTGGGAGAGAGAGAGAGAGAGAGAGAGAGAGAGAGAGAGAGAGAGAGAAAGAGAGATGCTCGTCCGTAATCTTAAAATTTCAGAAATTTATTTTCATAAGATCTAAAATTTTAACTAAGGTGTTTTATTAAAAATAAGCAAGATTATATTAAATGTAATATCTATGGCTTGAAAGATGGGTTAGATTTTACCCTTTATTAAATAAAATAGAATTACTCTTCTTCTTCTTGATATATATATATATATATATATACATATATATATATATATATATATATATATATTTATATATATATCAAGAATTGTTTTTTTAGTAATTCTAGTCAACCTGTGAAACCCTTGTCCAATGTCATTGAAATTTTATTTCAGATTAGACACGCTTTTTGAGAGGGAATGCTAAGTAGACATTCTAATTTCTTTTAATCAAGTTCACAAAACTGCCAAGGCTACTCGAGACATTTGTGCTGTGTACAGGGATGAATTCGTTACCAACAGAATGGCAGAGAAATGGTTTTCTTCGTTTCAAAAAGGGGAAGTTCGAACTCATAGACTCTCCACGTTCTCATCGACTGGTTTAGTTTGATGAGAACCAATTTCACGCGCTGATTAAAGATTTGGTTTGGTTTGGTTTGTTTTACGGCATAGCAACCACAATGCATTATTTAATGCCAACAAAATTTTCATTGAAGGTAATATTTTTTTCCAAAAATCTGTTTCTGATAATATTTTTTCCTTCAAAAATCTATTTCTTTCCCTGGTAATATTTTTTTTTCAAAGATGTATAGCTTGTAATATATATTTTTTTAAATGTATTGTTGGTATAATTTTTTTACAAAGTATTTCTGGTATTAAAACCTATTTTTATACTTTTATAGTGTTTTGACCACGTTTGTGGGTTAACTATTTGCCCATAGCTGGAAGCCTAACAGGTGCTACCACCCCGTGTCAGGGTGGACCTGGGAACACTAGCAATTATGAGGTGGTTCCACGCTCCTCAAAACCTCCTGATCGGAGGCGTTGCTGCTGGATGTAGTTTATCGTCTTACCCAAGACTCGGATGTAGTTTATCGTCATACCCAGGACGGGATTAAAGAATAACTGCGCCAAACTTCCTAGGAAACTCCTATTACTATCAACCCCCTATCAAACTCTTATATTCCTGTCGCTCGTCATCTTCGTTCAATGGTTAAGGTCCAGAAAAGGGGGTGCATGGATGCTACACGCAATGACCAAGAGAAACAAATTCCAGCGTTACTTCATTGACGCCTGTTTACTTGCTCGACACTAGGCTACTCGGGAATATAAAGAAAGAGATCGGTTGGGAAGTTCTGCCACACCCACCATATTCTCCTGATTTAGCCACTTTAGACTAACAGATTTTACGGTAGTTTTCAAACAAATTGAGAGGTACACTATTTACATTATTCGGACTATTGTCCTCATATTTGTCGCCATATTTATTACAACGTTTCGGCCCTTCAGTATCCGTCTATATTTCTGAGATGAGGTATTATGTACACTATTTACATTATTCGGATTATTGTCCTCAACTTTGTTGCCATATTTATCACAAAGTTTCGGCCCTTCAGTATCTGTCTATATTTCTGATATGAGGTATTATGTACACTATTTACATTATTCGGACTATTGTACTCATCTTTGTCGCCATATTTATTAAAAAGTTTCGGCCTTTCAGTATCTGTCTATATTTCTGAGATTGTCGCCATATTTATTACAACGTTTATATCGTTTACTGGGGTAGACAGTAGATAAAGGCGTTAAATCCAGTAACAGGACCCAAAGAGTGTGAGTTCAATACCTGGTTAAGGCGGTGGAGAACTTGGAGAGGGAACTAAGCAGGAGATAACTGATAACCGACATCCATTAAACATGGTATGTGGAACTAGAACAGTCTACTCCAGTGAGCGAAATAAAGGGTTTAGTTCGACATTCCAACGACCTGAAGAAGGCCGGAGCGTACAACGGCTGAAACGTTGTAATAAATATGGCGACAAAGATGAGGAAAATAGTCCGAATAATGTAAATAATGTACATAATACCTCATCTCAGAAATATAGACGACAGATATTGAAAGGCCGAAACGTTGTAATAAATATGGCGACAAAGATGAAGACGATAGTCCGAATAATGTAAATATTGTATCTTCTGTCATGCTTTATCTTTACAAGAATCAGATTAAAACAAAAAATGATGATCCCATATCTGGGCTGGAGCTGCACAATCCTTACTTTCCAAACTTGATAGAGTTAGAAATCGTATACGCGATACCTCCAGCCTCTTTCTCTCAGGCAAAACGTTCCAAGTATTTTGTTACTCTATCGCGATCTTTCTTCGTTATCCCTATTTTATTTTTTTTAATTAATGCGCTTAAGCTTGGCGATAATGCTACTAAGACGCAAGTGGCTATTGAGAATGAAAGCGAATGAAAAAAATTAAGAAAACAATCTAAAATAGGGAACAAGGTATAAACCTTAACTCCTGTTCAAAAGACCGGAGAAGAGGGTCCAAACGATAGGTCAACCTATCTACTCCTCTTACATTCTTATTTTACAACTGATTCAGTAACCCTCTACCTCGAGGTGCTCTTCGGCCTTCTTTTGGATGAAATTTAATATAAAAAATATCAATACAGACCACTGGAAACCATTTACTTGCACCAGAAAAACTGGCCCGCGTGCCATTACGCAGATCACCACTTCTGCTATAACACCATCGTATACGTATCCAGTGGTGTTGTAAAGGGGTCACCTGAGGAACCGATTGTTATTCTATGATGTTTAGTGACGAGAGCAATTTCTGCCTTCATGCAAGGGATGGTAATGTTAATGGTAATATTAGCCCTTTCCTTATAAGGAAACTTTCAGCATTCATTGACCAAGCAGCCAGAATTACTGTCGGTTGAAATTTATAAATTCTTTTTTTTTTAAACGATTTTTCAGGAAAGTATATTTCTCAAGTTCAGTAGCTGTTATCGATCTTTCGAGTACTGATGGGGGTTATCCTTCCTAACCTTTTATTTGAAGTCGTGTTGAATGTCAACATCTTAATTTTGTCATTATTTTATCTTCGCGATTTATACTTTTTATCCATTTAGGACGTTGCTACTAATTGATTTCTATTATTTGGTTCAGTTCTTTGCTTGTGGTTCTGTGGCTCCAGCCAATAAGCTTCGAAGAAGTGTGGTCTTCCCCACCCCCACCACAGGATTCATTCACTCAAAGGCAATTGTTAACAATTGATCTTAGAAAGCGGTTGTATGAGCTGACAGTTTAGATATTTCTAGACAGGTTTGTCACCGTGCATGACAGTCATATGAAAGTCCTTATCTGAGAAGGCTATTTAAGCCTCGAGTTTACAGCTTAATGTTTTAGTTTTCTCGCAATTTGGTATCGGGTGAAACTATCGTCCAGCGCAACTTATTCCATGTTCAACTTCTTTATCTCTTATACTAAATTTGCTGTAACTAATCCATGCACTTCAAAAGTGTTTAATATTTACTAATCCCATATGCTGAAGTGTTATGATGAAACTAGAGGTGTATGCATAGGTGCCACCACGTCATTCATTCCAATTCCAGGACATAGTTTCTGCTTTGGATTTGATTATTTTGAGTCCTATTGGAATATTTGGCAGAGGATATTGGAATATACGATGGAGACCTGGGGAACAATATCTTCTAGTGTGTATGCAACCATAGTGTGTGTGTATATATATATATATATATATATATATATATATATATATATATATATATATATATATATATATATATATATATAGTAGCGGCCATAATATACGGAACGGAAAACAACAAAGACATAAATATGTATTACTTAAAAAAATAATACATGTTTAGCAATGAAATTTTTCCTGAATAAAAAGATGTAATGCATAAATATTATACAAAGTTACAAAATATTATATTTTTTTAAAAAAATTTAAATGGAAATTTTTTTTTAAACAATATATATATAATTGGAACACTTTTAAGTAATGGAGACCACATATATATATATATATATATATATATATATATATATATATATATATATATATATATATATATATATATATATATATATATATATATATATATATATATATATATATATATATATATATATATATATATATATATATATATATATATATATATATATAAAAACCTCGAGGCGGTGTAGTGGTTAGCAAGCTTGTCTCGCTAGAACATTTACGACTGAATAGTGAGATCAATCCTCACTGGATGCTCCTTACTTTCGGTCTTGTGCCACATCAAAACTACACTTGGAAAATCACTATATATATATATATATATATATTGTCTTGCTAACCATTATACAGTTATGTAGTAAGGCTTCGATTCCTGTCGGAGAACGCATTTATTCTACGTAATTTCTCAAACGTTCAAGCCGGTAAATGTAATTAATAATTACTTTCAAGTTTTTTATGCAACCTACTTTCATTAAGTGTTCAATTCAAATAATTTGAAATTGTTGCAATGAAGCAGCTGATTACACGTCGGATTGAACTTAAGTCAACGAATATTTTATACTCGAATTTTACTTGTAAAGATATAATATCCCATCTTTAACATGATAACAATATTTGTATGTAATGTTACTCCCGAACGATTTATTTTATGAAACTTTACATATCAGACAAAGGGAAAAAATCCGAATTAATTCATCATTTAGGCGTATTTGTGGCGAGTTCATAACGGGTGCCTCAAAGGTGTTTATTCACTGTCATCATTTTTATCTCTTGACAATCGCAACTAATTCATTCAAAATGTGGCCAAGCTTTAAAATTGGATTAATTCTGAAGATTAAACCTCATGACAATTGCCGCTGAATTATTAATAATTGAGGCTTTTATACAGAACAAAAATAATATTCTAGGGATCATTAACATAATCCCATGCGTTCGTCCAATTTCACCCAAAAGACAAATTATCATTACAAAATTTAGCTAATGGCCGCATTTTAGGACCAGTAGATGACTTTTCCCCAAAAGATCCGTATAAATCTTTTCGATCACTGCATCATTTTA